ATAGCGAACGTGAAATTTATGTTGTTTGATCAACAAATGGGTCTGCCGAATATCGCAGGCCGTAACAACAATACGGTTATTAGTCTTGCTTGACAATGTACTAGCATGTTAAACATACTTCCCCATAGATTTATTATCAGCTGGACAGAATTTCTTTAATGATTTTTGTTTGTTTTGCGTTTTATTGTTCACTACTTGATACATTATTTAATCATTGTTAAAACAATGTCATCGATATAACTTAATTGTTAACTACTACTTGTTCTTTGGTATCAAAACCAAAGATACTATACAATCTGTTGCAAATATTGTAAATCTACACTCAAGTAAGATAAAACATTAATCACTGTGAGTGCACACCAAGACATTCACGTATAGTCAACCAGCATGAAACACACCTCAAAACAGTTTAAAAAACATTATGAGAAGTCTACTAGCATTATTTTGTACATGTTTTAGCTGGGTTTTCCTAGGCACGGAAGCGGAGAGCGGAGAGAGGAACGCGGAGAGCGGAATAGAGATTAACATGGTGTTCCGCTTTGCTTCAAGGAAAACAGTAACATTAAATTACCTAAGACAAGTGGAGTCCGCTCTCCGCGTTCCTCTCTCCGCTCTCCACTTCTGCGTCTAGGAAAACCCGGCTTTAGAAAACAGACAAAATTGAGTGATTTAGTCTTTGATGGAAATTTTAGTTCATCTATGAGAACATACTTCAATAATGATGCCTTTTTACTAGATATTTCTAAGTTAACCTTCAGTACCATTACAACTCCTAGTTATATGAATCTTGAATAAAAATAGTAGCACCCATTCATTAGCCTTAAATTTCTAAAATGTTATAGATATAATGATATTTCCATTTTTTCTCCTACTAAAAAATATGTTGTACTTATTTGAGTACTACCCCTCTTGGTAAATTTAAATTAAACAAAATGGAACGACAAAAAACAACTAAATGTTTAAAAATTAATCCGAATCTTTTTCTATTCAAGAATAAAACTTAGCCGAAAGCACAGCTTACAAACATGACAAACCCGAACAACTTATTAAGCTCGAAATGTAAACAATTCCATCTTTTAAAATTACCATATTCAAAGTAATTGGTGTCACTTTAAGTTTCAGAACAGTTGCACTGATTGTTCACATTATAGTTCCACGCTGATATCATCGATGTTGCATGCGCATAACTACATGTGAACAAGTGTTGCAGTCATTATAGTTGGCTGATGAATGAAATGACCTTCATCGTGAGATCCAAGCACGGAAATGGATGGTCAATTGCTGTACACTGCACAAGAGTCGTCATAATGACCAATACTAACCCTGGATTAGATCTTTAAGTGCCTTTAACACTAGTTACTGTTGATTTATATATTCAAATTATTGGTTTTAAGTACAGGGTGAAAACTCAAAAATTTCATCATTATACTTTAGAAACGAAAACATTCACAGACAAATCTTAATTTAATGGTTATCAAAATTGAAATTACATTCAAATCTATTTTAATAGGTTATGTAATTTTCACAATACATGCAAAATTATTTTTATAGTTTTTTTCTGTTTACAAACCAAATGTTTCTGAACAATACGTTGCGTGATAGTAAATATATCTTAAAATAATATGTGTGGCGTTTTTGATAGTTACTTTATATGAAAACTTAAAAAATACACATGACCTAGTCATTACATTTAACTCCTTAACAAAAATATTTCAAACATATACATGTAGGCTACATGTTTAACTTATTAAATGCTCAGCTTATGACAGTACCGAACTTATGGGGACCAAGCTTTGACGAGGGAAAATCATTAGGATAATCTGAGAGCAGTCTTTGGTCAGTGTAAATTATCTATTGTATTTTATCCGTGTTCTGTTAAAATAGTAATGTCGTTGTTGACTTTGTGTAAGCAACGCTTCTGATTCTAGTCCAAACATGTTAAAAATAGCTAATAATATACATTTGATAAGCAAAATAATATTTAACAGGCCATAATACAATTTTGAAACTTATTTATAAATCAACGATGGATTAAATTATGAGAATTTTATAATGATTTTAATTTTTCCCATTGTTGCACCGTGCCACGTCACATCCGTAAGGTGGTCTGGGCCACGCACGGTCTCACAAAATATTTAATACTAGTGTACCTGTTGCTCGAAATCGAGCAATTGTCAAGTACCGGTATTATGCAGGAGTTATTTTAAAACTACAGTAATAACAGTCATAATTTTCGATGAGTTTAAAAAACCCGACTAAATGCTAACGTAACTAATTGAAATGATCACGCTATTTAATACCGCTTTGAAATTATAGATAAACGCTTCTTGTAAAAATATTTTAGCATTTTTTGGACCCGGCCTTATTTTTTAGTGTTTTCTACAAATGTTTCCCGACTTAAAGCTGATACCATTAAACATTTCTTGCATGTATTTCTTTGATCTGACTTTAGGTAGGTTTACTTTACCACTGTGACAACACGATGTGTATATTCTTCATATTTTTTTTTTACTTCCAAAATAAGTTGCTTAGCATAACTGGCAAAATGATTCATCTCCCCAAGTGATTGCGTACCTGGATTCCTTACTGTGAGACCAGGCCTATCTTCTACTCTTCTTATACGTATAAGATCTCCTATTAATTGTCTCCTCCTCCTGTCTTCAATATTTCTCCTTTGAATTCAAGAAATTTGCTGTTCTTCCAACAAAACTGATTAACTGTTTAGATTTGTTTGTAACCTCATACATATTACAAACATCAATATTTACTCCAAAAAAGCTGGTGAGTTTATTTTTATGTACAGCTGTTTTTGTTTTTAAATTTGTTTTCAATGTAATTCTTATGGGGGAAATGCGACCTTTGAGAGTGTCTTGTGCCCTTAAGGGTAATATTTTTTAAATTCTAAAACCTTTATGCAAAACTACGAATTGAGACGAATCATTTGACACCTCAAACGTTAAAATCGGTCCAGAAATAACAGAGGAGTTTTGTTCACAAAAAACAGCCCTCACGTATTAATATAAGAGATCCTAGTTGTGTATTAACAGATTTTTACAATAAATTTATGGTTGGATTAGTCAAACGTTTTCCCAAACCAGATCCTTTAATGGTTTTTAGTAGAATCGTTCGTTTTAAAAATCACATACAGATAGTCAAAAAACTAGGTATTTAGATCCTGATTTTAAAATAGTATTAAAATAATGTTTTCTAATACTATTTATCTTACTTTTTTATAAATGTGAAAGTGTGTTTGTTTGTTTAAAAATTTGCGTAATTGCAATCGCGATAAAGGTTCTGGACGAAAGATAACACAGTTCTTGGGTAATATACTGTTAGTAAACTGAGGGGTTGCGTTATGTTATTTTAAGCTGCATTTACTCATTCTTGGTATCTGAAGCTTTAATTTTCAGGTAGTAAAATCGTAGTAGTTTGGTTGTAAATTGACCTAACTCTACGTTTATTTGGTTCGTTTTTAATATCTAAGCTTTAATATATTTAATTTCTTGGATGAGTAAAATCGTAATAAATTTATAAGTGAAAATTACATTAACTTCGTTTACACTATTCACAGGGCTAATAAAATATGTTCAGGCAATTTTAGGCTTGTCTGCAAACAAATTTAACACCACCATTGAATCTTCACAAACATTGATTAAATAACAACAAAAATACTTCCATTCGATTGTGTTGGCTTCCACCTTTCCCAAAGATTGATTATAGTTACACAGCACCGGTAATCAATAGCAAACAACTCCTTCTATTGAAGTTGTTTAAAAAAAAATTATTTTAAACTATTCATCTACTTCAAATAAATGCAAAGCATTAATAGAACTCCTGTCACAGAATGTTTGGGGATTTTATTTCAAAGTGATTTTTTTAATATTTGGTCTACAGAGATGGGTAATTGATAGTTATATTTTGTTTTATAAACCCAGAGAACTTGCCTCAAAGGAAATTTCAGTAAGTTTTTCAAACAAATCTAATCAACCGGAAATACAAAGAGATATCATTTGATATTGCACTCACTGTCTTGGTTTATTTATACATGAAGAATAATTTAAACTTCCATTTGATGAATCTTTTCTTTGATTCTTTCTTTAAAAAGTAAAGTAAGCATCCTAAGGCAAAATTGTTTATTACTTGTTCAAAGCTTTGTGTGAAATTCAAAGTGGAATTTACAGATGTTATGTTGTTTAAACAATAACTTTCATATTAAAGTTCGTGAAACTTGTATTTCAAATAATTATTATTATTTTATCTCTTATCATCGGCTCATTTTAGTTCATTACTTGAACAGTTTTAACACGTTCACTACCATCTGACACACTCCTCTGTATCCAATAAAATTAATACTGAGTTAATTTAAAAAACAGACTCCGTCTCAAGTTTTTAACAGACCATATTGGGAAATCAATCTGTACACGCCATAATAAGTACTAAACCTACACCTGCTATGACAAATTAACTTTGTTTACTGCCTCAAAATATACAACAAACTATTGTCTATAAATAAGTAAGGTTGTATCTATTTAATCTTAAAAGGGCTTGCAGGCCTTCATTAAAAATGTTCCAATTTCGGTAGCTCCCTCCAAATTATTTAAATGTCTAGATTATGTCAGGCTAGAATAATCTTAAGGAGCTTGGGGAAACTAACTGGTTTTAATCGAGAAAATTACAAGATAAAACAAGATTTCCATAGAGTTCACATCCAGACCAAAAACGTTATTCAACATCATTTAAAATAAAACCATAAAACTTTAATTCTAATTTAAAATATTGTTTGTCAAATTAAAAACTAAGATATTAATAAAATTATGTTTATAAAACCTCGGTTTGATTTAAAAGTATTCACGTTAACCTGGACAAATCTATCGCTATCTAAGAAAAGCTCTATGGTGTAAAATTCAGAACATGAACTTTTCGATACAAAAAAGAGAGTAGTAAAATCCATGGAATTTTTTTTAGTCGAGTTTTTAAAACTATTTTTGACAAATAGTTACCTGTGTCAGCAGTTAACACTGTCAAGTCAGTCGCCGAACTGAGAGTGACTTCTGACATTGTCGCCTTTAGTTGTTATCAGTGCCCTTGATAAAAATAAAACTAGCGGTCTATAATCTAGTAGTTTGTGATAACAGAATAGTCTAACTATGATTTGCTGCATAGCCACTCTTATGGTTTTCAGTTTTTGTTGTACTTAAAAATGCCATCGTTAGCCCTTTTTATTACATCTTGAGTAAAATTCCCAATAAATGAAACCGTTCTTTTAAGGAAATGTGACAGTCGTATTGGCATATTTTGCCGGAAAATCTAGGATTTAATTGTGATATGATAATTAACTCAACTTAATGGGAATATACTGTATATTAATACACCTCAAGATTATGGTGACTATCTTTGCAAAAACCTATAAATGTTGCTAAATAGAATGTATAGTCTTGGGACTGATTGCAGGCACATATAATGCATTAGCATGCCGACGGAAAATGTAAAAAAAATACATATATATACTATTTTGTTTACTTCAAAACTCGGCCTGGCAATGAACAATATTGATAATCTAATATTGACTTCCATAGATTTTATTTGACTTAAACATATAAATTATACTTTTACAACAATTGAAAGAGATGTAAACTGTCACAAATTTAACATTAGAGTCTTTTTGAACGATTCAAGATGGCTACAACTAATGATGACATTTTAAGATGGCTACATCTTCGTGTGTTTGTAAACTTACCTTACACTATCAGTGTATGACTTCATGTGCACAGCACCGAAAACATTAAATATACACACCAAGTCTGAATTCGACAGCCCGTCCAAGACTGAATACATATTACTTCTAAAATGAAACAGTATCTAATTGACAGACCATTACAATTCAACAGAATTCATTACCGATCACACGTATTCAAGTCTTTGGTTCGTCCAGCTCATGAATACAGGCCTATCATTTTTGTAGCCACATCAACAAAAAGACATTATACTTGAGGATATCCAAAAGCATTTTAAAAGAAAGTTGGGACTTGGAGTTCTTATCAAAACTTGTCTCTTATATTGAGGAGCAGTTTGACATTCTTGCATATATGCAGAAATGCTTATCTTATTGCGCTCAACAAAATTTTTTTTCTGGACAGTCCTGCTCTCCTAGCCCTAGCAGATGTCATCCCTAGGAACTCCCTATGTGATCTTCCTATAGGAAGTGTCATCTTCCTACTTTGCATGCCTACAACAGCGGTCTATTAAGACCCCTCAGATATGGATGTGAGGTTTCAGAGCAAAACAACATTTCGGTGTTTCTGCTAAGTCTTTTCGAATTACAGTGGTCATGGTGATAGATCTTTATTGCATATATACCAGGTTCATCGGGGCTACAAGGCATTGTTTTATTGGCGGTTCAATATATTTTCTGCAAAAATTTTCCTAATATTTTACCTTATTTATTAGTTTATTATGAATTTTTCGCTTTAATTGTATTTCTACATTTCCATGCATGTTATTAATTGTATCTCAAACCAACCACCTCTTGTTTTTCTATTCTTGTTATTGTTATGATATACATTGGACTAAACATATTATTTTTATACCGTTGGAAAAAATGTTATTTTTAATTAAATTACTTTTCTTGTATGTCAAAGGTTGCACTTTTTTCAGCACTATCAATTAAGTTATTTACCTCATTTGAAATCATTGTTTAGCTACAAACTCGTTATCTTCCTCCATTTTGTTTCATCATTGATTTAGTTATTTATGTTGCATAAACTCAGTTGCATGTACTATATTGGCATGATAATTTAGTTAAAGTGCTACACATTTTATTGAAAACGAAGTTACCCGTTGAGAATGAATATATTAAATATAAAACTGAACATAATGATACAAAACACGAACATAAATTATGCGTACAGCTTGCTACCTAACAGCCTATGTAGTAAATTCTGTCGATTCAGTACCGTGCAATGTTATATTGGTTTTGGTAACGTAAAATCCAGTCCGTGTGATATTCAGTATTAACAACGCTTTGCGAATTAATTAAGTTCCCTGATAGCTTAGTTTACTGCTATGTAGCTATCACTGAAACAGTCAAACAATGTATTAGTGAACTCAGTAAATGACAAGCCGTATAAGTAATATTGAATATTACAGATCCCATCTAAATCTTGTTTACCTGAATCATTAGTGGTCACAACTATTCAACCCTGTATAAGAAAAATTCAGATTTGTTCAATTTGTCACAAAAAATCCCATGACAACTTATTAGATTGTAACCCAACAAAGCTAAGGAATTATTTGTAAGATCCGACTTCTACATGATGTTGTACAACAAAGATTGATTAACATTATCTACATCTTGTTGGTGGGATTCTTGCACGCCACGAAGCTATTGTTCAATATCATAACCATTAATCTGTTCCAATTCCAAAGCTTGATTGTGGGATCCTTGCTTCATTACATCTATATCGCACAATTTGTGTATTGTCCTTGCCTCTTCTGAATGAACTAATAAAGCTGTAATTTGTTATAATACGGATATGTAATCTTAATAATCATACAGGATAACTGTTGTAGTTTTTACTCACTTATAATTTAAGACTTTTTCAATTACAAGCAAGGTTAAAAATGCTTTTAAACATCTGGTAAAACCCCAAATATATGTAAAAAGATCAAATGGAACATAATAGGATAGTTAGCATTCCATTCGTACAATTATTAGATCCTTTATTATGAACAAAAACGCAACAAATGCATGGGAAAATCTTTTCAAACGATTTTAACATGGGGACACAGTTGTTTATTGTTACGACAATGCATGTAAATCATTAGTGAAAAAAGCAATAAGACAATCAAAATATTGTATAATTTGTATAAAACATCAACAAAAATTAATCTAGACCAAGGTCAAACAGTTCTCATTTCATCAGTATTCCAAGGGTTTGTCAGAAACTATCATGTTCATTTTTGTGGTGGACGCATTCTATAATTAGCCACATATAAAGAACCCCCTTTTATCATCCTGACACGTTATTTGCGAGAGGCAGTCAATAATTATGTCATCGGGTCTCCCACCCGTACGCGATAACCGTCAATTAACTTCCCTTATTTATGTATCTTCCTAAAATACTCTTATTAAAATACATGCAACCAAAACACACATATAACTTCAACCCCCAATCATAAACACATCAGTTTAATGTTTTTGTTCATACTGCCATATTTGCCAGATAATGATGTTGCGAATTACCCAATTTAATGTTGCTGCAAAATGACTAAAGGTAATTTGTATCTTACTAAATAGCTTAATCATTATGTTTTCCTTGAATTTACTAAAACATCCCATGAATGTAAACTGACATTTTTCGATGAATTGGTTACTTATTTGTCCTAATGATCCTAAGAAAGCGCAAATGATGTATTGTGCTTCAACTAAACCTTTTGTATGTATTATCTGGAAGTAGAACGAAACTGTGACTTAAATTTAATAGTTTCGATAAATGTTTCTATTCAATTTTACAAACTAAACTATAACGTAATAATAAACGTATACATTATGTTTAAATTTGCCGATTTATAAATAAGGTAAACCTTCTGATAATCTTAAAACAAACACTACAATGTTTACATTTTCGAAGCACGGTTTGGCAAGTAGCTACTAACAATAAACAGCAAACTATTATACTAACGTATTTAACCAGATCAATGTCCAGCTTTCATATGCTTTTATGATAATTAGGACTGCTTTATCCATATGAGTGCATTCTAAATGAGAAAATACCGAGTAATTATCTGAAATGTGGCTCCCTGGCTGGGCCCGGGCCAAAGCGCTCGGACCAGAGTTGCTACTTTTGTTTTATTCAAACAACTTAATTTGTTGCAGATTACATTTTGCATTTTTAACTTGACATTAATTTAGCTTTTCCATTTCACTGGCCTCCTCGTTTCTGTGTTTAAATAAATGTAATTGTGTTAAAAAGTTTGATTACTGTATATACTGTAGAATAAAGATAACGTTATTGATTACATTTTATTTTAATAACGTCTAAAAATAATGCAATATAATGCAAAAGGAATTTGCATTGATGTATTGAACAAAGTGTTACTGAAATAAACTTTAAAGAGTTTAAATATAATTTATTTAGAAATTGTAATTGTTTAGTACGTAAACGAAAAATGTTAAGTGTGGACTTAATTAGATAAATAGATGTAAATATCAAAGTTAAAAACTATAAAGAACAAACTAAATGATCAACATTTAAAAATTAAAACATTAAAAACTTCATAAATTTAACTTGGGATTTTTTTAGGAATCAAATGTTACAACTTTCAGCCATTTATGTTAACCATTGCACAGCTAATTCGTTAATTCAAAGTAAAGAGTGTGTATTACAAACTTTTCTTGACTCTTAAAACTATATTTAACAAATAGATATTTTAATTTGGTTAAAATATTCATAGTCCTATTGAAACAACAATTAATAATAAAGAAACATCAAAATTCACTTTTCATACCCCAGAAAAAAAAAACTTGAACCTCTATTCTTAGCTAATCCACACTTTAACAAGGGAATGTGTTAAATGTTTGCTATGAGGTTGTTTTGAAGCACGCGGAAAACCAATTTAATTTGCATTCAGAGATTAACAGGTAAATTACATGCTTTCGACGGACTTTCCGTCATTTCCAAACTGAAGTAGGTTTTGATTAAGTCCTCTGACGTGGAGAGCGTCACCGATCTAGAGAGGATGTTTTACTATATCTTCGACACCACCGATTTTTGTTTTATTGTAGAGGAGATTATGTAGACAAAAAATGGAGTAATATTTTCAAACATAACTAGGATGTGTTAGTAGGTATTGTAATAGGTATATTGTATTCAATATATCAGTAAATATTTGGTAAGTCGGTGGCTCAGTTGGTAGCGTCGCGGACTTCGGGCCCAAGGCAGTAGTGTCGTGGGTTCGGATCCTGGTCACTGCCACAAACTTTTATCAGTACAGTTCACCTTTGTACTGTACCGGCTCACCCCTTGCT